TAAAAGCAAAAGGACAAACAATCAAGTGCCACTATTTTGTAACTTTTATTATTTCTCCTCATTATTTCCGCTAGATGCAAAGTTAAAAGCAACACTGAGGAAGTGGCTTGTAACATATCCATTTTCGGGAATACCGGTTTTCGGAAAAACGGGTCAATTTTCAGTTGTTAAATGGTCTATAGGTAAAATAATACCCTTTTTCGAAAAAAGGAATCATTGAAACATTATTTTCCCGGAAGAAATGTGAACAGGGCAAAGATCACGAGATAAGCAGAATTTATTGACGTCACATGATTCCGCGACCCCTCATTCAACTGCAAACGGTCATTGCCTCCTAATAAGATAAATTAACTGTCCAATTTAGTGTCGACCTAGAGGGCTGAGAATTGATAAGTAGGGTAGAAGCTATTAGTTTTAGATGTGGGCGCATGATGAGATGGTAGAGGAGGGGGAGTTAGTTGTTACAGCATGGCAGTTCATGTTAATGAAAGCCTACGAGACATGGTTAAAGGGGGGAGGGAGGGGGGCAGAGGACGGAGTAGCAGTCAGTCCTAAGGGGAGCGAGGAGGCGTGAGAGGGAATGAGCTTATCGATCGTTACCACGGCAATGCCAGGTTGATCACATGATCCAACTGCTTACGGAGTTCTGATTTTCTACTCCGTATTGCAGCAGCCTCCGCAAACCGTAAGAGACACCGGGATGTCGCCCGAAGCACGACCGTAAATGCAGTCTTTTGGTCGACAGTATGGCCAGTGCCCAATAAGTGCTTCGTGATCGAACCCTTAGATATTTTGTTTTCCGCCCTGAGCAACAACTTCGGCATATGTTCAGCTGACCACGTTGCCAACTGCCTTTGCGTGCGCCCGATGTATTCGCATCCGCAACTACATGTAAACTAGTAAACGCAGTTTGATGTGGCGTGCATAGACAGAATGTCTGTGGTTGGTCTAGCTGGAAGAGCCGTTTTTGTGCTTATGAACAACGACTTAGAGGCGGGGTAAGATCTTTCCATCGTGCATCGAAGCCTTCGCTTTATCACGCTGGATACATCATCACCCTTGAAAGGGAGGAAGATTCTCACTGGCTTTTTTGACACTGATATTTCAGGAGGATTTTTTTGTCTGCGGTTGCGATATTTATCAATGAATTTTTCCGGATAGCCGTTTCCAAGAAACCCTTTCTTGAGAAAACTCATATCTTCTCGCCTCTAGCCCCTCACCATGCGCCCACATCTCAGACTAACAGCTTCTATTCTATTTACCTATCAAGTTTCACCCCTCTAGGTCGACACTTAATTGGACAGTTAACTTATCTTATTAATAGGCAATGACCGTTTGCAGCTGAATAAGAGGTCGCGGAATCATGTGACGTCAATAAAGTCTGCTAATCTCGTGATCTACGCCTTGTTCGAAGAAGAGATAGTTTTTAATGATGAATTTTTTGGGGAACGCAGCGTGGTCGGCGTCTGTGGATTTCTTAGCGAAGTGCACGAGTCGCACCAGTTACTCAACGCCTTCTCGGCCTGAGGTTGGCATTGCTAGCAGAACCGAGTCAGAAAGAATCATTACAATCTCTCAAACCTTTGTTGGCCGACCCTTTTAGCGTCGGTTTCGACGACGCTTAACGTGTGCTCCACACCAAGGCAAGCGCAGGAATGGTGAATTGCGCGGCGTCTAACACATTCTCTCATATTTCTCCCCACGTGAGCCTTAGGAGAGAGGTGGCTGGTGCTGTCGGAGCCACGCCTCTTAGGCTTGTTGCTACGCCTGACTCGGGCCCCACGGAATGGAAGGAGTGCTATAGAGGCCACAGTAAGAAACAGCCCCTTCGGCCTGATTGCCAGCCACTCCGCACAAACAATCACTGGGTTTCCTGTGCGCGGTCCGAGTTATGTCGTCATTTAGCAACCTTCCAAGCCACGACCTGTAGCGCACCGTGATACTTTTAAGCGCGTCAGGGTGTTTGTGGCGAGGAAAATGCGCTGAACCGTCGACCTCCCATTTCCATGCCGCGGCTACTGTCCCAGCCGGTCAGTTGTCTGGTGCAGGAAATGGGACCGGTGGCTAACATGGCTAGAGTTCCGGTCTGCACATGTGAACAACACTACCACTATTCACTGACGTGGCCCGACTGTCGGGAGTCTTCGCAAGCGATCGCGTAGCGACAAGCGATCGGTGGTCAGGAGGAGCTACTAAAAGACCCGGGAGGCTAGGATGATCGACTTTATGCCGCAAAAAGCCCCCTATCATCCGCCTGACCTCAACGTGAGATATAATTGATTGGCATTGGTCAGGTAAGTAAACACTTTATATCAGCGTCTCCCTACTCTTCTTTGTCATCATACATCTTTGGTCAGTAAAACATATCAGTTACTGTAGAATACAACCGGCCGAACGCATAGGCGAAACCAAGGGCATTAAACAGGTGTCGATGTAGTTCAGGCGAGAAGCTACAATTCGCAATATATAGGCAGGTAATATAGACCATGTCTTGGAAATGTCTATAACAGTATGTCATTCATCCAGTGGGTCGTAGCTTTTCTCCTCATTCAGATGCTCTTTAATGTTATTTCGACTTAATATCTCGTAGATGTTCACGGCTTTCACATGAATCTATTTCTGACTTTCAGCTGAAATAATATTTTATCATTAAGATTAAATCTATACATTTACTTTGGAATCGAAGGTCGGATTACGTTTTTTTTTCGACGACGAATTTGAATAGGACTAACTTTAGGCGGAATCAGGACACAGTGTTAAAAAGCTGGCAACTGACGATTAGGAAAACAGTAGGTCAGATGGAGTGCCATGTTTACAACAGGTATTCATGATTTTTCTATCGATATTTTGGCTGATTACTGAATTCATCAAGGAGTCCCATAAAACGAAATCTCCATACAAAATCTACTTAATAAACAGACAAAATAAAACAGCAATATTAATCTAGGAATAAAAAATTGCAACATATACACTTGATAGTTCAACTTACACCATATACACGGCCTAGATCACTTCTAATTGGGTAGAGACAATTCAAGGATTGAAACAGTGTTTTCGCGGAAGAAATTTGAACAAGGCAAAGATCACGAGATTAGCAGGACTTATTGACGTCATATGATTTCGTGACCTCTTATTTAACTGCAAACGGTTTTATCTGAGACTACTAGCGTTTACTCTCTTTACCTACCAAGTTTCATCCTTCTAAGTCAAAACTTACTTGGACCATTAATTATCTTATTAATAGGCAACGACCGTTTGCAGTTGAATAAGAAGTCACGAAATCATATGACGTCAGTAAATCCTGCAAACCTCGTGATCTTTGCCTTATTCGAATTTAAGGACTGTCGATAAAAACGAACAGGCAAGGTTGAGGAAGCAGTTCAGAAGGAGGAGATGCAATAGCTGGAACCGGCAGTTTATTGGCCTCACATTTCAGCTTCTCACTCTAACCCCCCATCAAAGACAGTCGCAGATAAGGGTACTGGAGGCGCGAGAAATGCAGGGTTTACAGGACGCAGTTGCTATGACAACATGCCTGCTTACAGTTAGCAGCATCTGCGTTCATCGCTTGGGTTGTTTTTTGATGCAATTATGGCCGTCTAGACCGCTCCGGAGTCGTTAATGGCCACGATTGCATCATCGCTGTTGATTTTTGGCATGCTGGTTGCTCGGCGATTTGGCTGACCGTCATCGGGACTGTCGGCCGCCCGCGCGACTAATTACTTTGCCCGGACGAAGTTGCAGTAATAAATATGGATACGCGAGGCCACTGCGCTTGTAACTTCACTGCAGACCACGAAACCGTGAGATTTTTGATTTCGTGTGGTCGAACGAGCCGCAATCTGAGAGGCAGCATAATTTCTTCCAACTGCTGCTGCGTACTCAGCCATTCGCGTCGAGAGTAATCTCTACCTTTTATTCGACGTAAGTGCTTTACACACAACTGCACAAGATGCAATAAACGACTCTACACGTTCTCATTTATGGCACTGGGGTTTCCAGCCTCATGACCTGGCGCCCAATGGTTGCTCCCAATCCATGTGCAACTCCAACTCTAAGTGGAGTAAGATGGTGACTGACGGTTTCCGACACTTCAGTCACCGATTTTGGAGGAAAGGACACGAACGGAACACTCGATAGCAGCCAATGCAAGCACAGTCAAGTACCGAAAAACAGTAAATGCGAGAGACTCACCGCATCGGCATCTGTGATCTGGAATCTGTAGTCTTGCCCACGAGCAATAAGGGCATTGAGCTGTTGGTGTTCGTTCTCCAGTTCAATTAATCGGTGGTGAATGGTATATTGCTCCTTTCTGACCTCCTTTACACGAGCCCTGTCAGCCCGATCCGCAGCCGAGTCCATGACAGGCAGCTGCTCGGGATACCAATCAGCACGCCGCTCTGGTAAGAACTGTTCCAGTCGTCTAAAGTTGAGAAAAAGAGGATACGTTATGAGAGGTTGAAATCTTCCAGAACCTCGACTCGCAAATTTCATTGACCCCAAGGTGACGAGGGGTGACTTTTGCAGAAAGGCG